AACTGGGGTCCTGGTGTGGCACTGTAGGATAAACACTGGACCAAAGGGTCAGTTTGAACCACAAGGTTGGCGGTTCAAAGTCAGCAGCTGCTCCTTGGAAACCCTATATATGGTCGCTATGAGTTTGGACCCAACTTTATGGCACTTAGCAACAACAACAACCCTTAAAGTTACGCTTTTGTTCATCTGTCCATAACCATCTATTATGTAATAAAGATTAGAACAAAAACTGTAATCGTGCTAGAAGACCAACACCAAAACTTAGGTGTCCAAGTTTCTTATTACACTATTTGTAGCAACAGAAAGAATAAGAAGGAAACTCACACCTCAAACACTGTTTTGTGCAAAGAATGTCATTTGTAACTCATTGATGCTGATTGTTTTCAGACCTGTGATGGTTAAGGTTGTGTATCGGCTTGGCTGGGCCATCATTCACAGTGGTTTGGCATTATGTAACGATGTAGCCAATCCCCAGTATGGGATCTGATATAAAGGGATCAAGGTACCACCTTTACTCCAGTCACAGCTCTGGCTGGGGAATGTGGCCTGTATCAATGTGTATGGGCAGCCTAGCTTTTTGCTTGTAGCCGGCTCTCATCATCGGACATCCAACGGCTTGGGCTTGAACAAGCAGCTTGTCAGTCTTGGATCTGTCAGCATCTGCAGCCTGGGAGTCTGACGTCTGACCTGCTGGTCTTGGGTTCATCAGCTTCTGCAGCTACGTGAGTCAGGAGAAGTCTGTCTGCCGTCTGACTTACGGACTTGGAACTCATTAGTCTCTACAACCACGTGAGCCATTTCCTTTAGATTCCCCCTCCCCCAGCCCCCTTACATAAACAACATATATATATGCTGTTGTTGTTAGTGCCATCGAGTCAGTTCCAACTCATAGTGACCCTGGATAAGGTTTCTGAGGAGCAGCTGATAGGTTTGAACCACCAATCTTGTAGCCAGCAGTTTGGTGTTTAACCCACAGCACCACACCAGGACTCCTTCTATACATATTGTTGTTGTTGTTATGTGCCGTGGAGTCGATTCCGACTCATAGTGACCCTGTACAGGGTTTCCGAGGCTGTAAATCTTTACGGGAGCAGAAAAGCCTCATCTTTCTCCCGTGGAACAACTGGTAGTTTCGAATTGCTGACTTTGCGGTTCACAACCTGACTCGTAACCACTACGCTACCAGAGCTCCTTTCTATATATCTATATATATCTATATCTATATATATATATGCACATATACAGTTACATATTCATATAAGGAGCTCTGGTAGCGTAGTGGTTATGAATTGGGCTGCGAATCGCAAGGTCAGCAGTTCGAAACTACCAGCTGCTCTGCGGGAGAAAGATAGGGCTTTCTGTTCCCGTAAAGATTTATAGCCTTGGAAACCCCGTTCAGGGTCGCTATGAGTCGGAACCGACTCAACAGCACTTAACAACATCAACATACATATACAGTTAAATATACAGATACATATACATATACTTGGAGCCCTGGTATGGAGCTGTGGTTTATGCGCTGGACTGCAAAGTCAGTTTGAACCGTAAGGTCAGAGGTTCAAACTCTCCAGCCATGCAGCCTGGTCATGGGTTTAGGTAATCTTGCAGGAATCTGTTATTTTTAACTCTTTGTTCTTAAGTGTTCTGGTGGTGCAGCAGGTTAAGCTTTGGACTGCTCCTCGGAAACCCTATACAGGGTCACTGTGGGTCGGAATCGACCAGCCACTGCTCCGAGGGAGAACAGATGACAGCCTTGGAAATGCTATGGGGCAGTTCACCTCTGTTCTCTAGGGTCACTGTGACATGATCAATGGGACACAGTGAGTTTTTTAACAGCAGTGCAATCTTGTCATCCAACATCCGACTTTTAAAATTTGGTATTCAAGAGATTGCTAACTTCAGTATTTGCCCTGAAATAGTTTCAAAGCCCAAACCAAGCCCACTGTTGTTGAGCTGATTTGGACTCATAGTAACCCTGTAAGACAGAGTAGAGTTTTTGTGTACATCAAACAAATAAACAAACAAACAAACAAACAAAAACAGAGGGAATAGAAGCAAATGCTGTTGAATGATGATGCATGGAGGAAATTGTAATCATTGCAATGAAATGAAATATGACAGGATGAGTGCAAAACCATTGTTCTCCCACATGAATGATCACTCAATTCCCAATAAAAACTTTAAGAAAAAGACAGAGTAGAACTGTGCTTTAGTTTCTGAGGCTGTAGATCTTTCTCCTTCAGAGTGGCTGGTGGGTTTGACTTTGGGTTAGCAGCCACTGTGCCACCAAGGATCTTTGAAATAGTGGGAATAAAACTAGTTTCCACTATCAATGTTGATTTTGAGCATCCATGTTCCACACTCCTAAACAGAAGCAGAGAGCTGAAACACTGGGCCCTTCAGTCCTGAAATAGCATCACTGGGTGTTAGCTCTCTAGCTGCTGAGTGATCCGTGATTTAAACCAGCTACAACACAACACACAACAAACCAGCCCTCGTTTCTAATCCTGAACAATGATTCCCTCAGATCCCTGGAATGTGCTGTGTGTTACCTGGTGTTGGCCTAACTCCTGATGACCCCATGCTTACAGAAAGAAACTCTGACCAGTCCTGTGTCCATGGTCCCCATGGCCCACTGTGGAATGGGCAATGTTTCTTTGTCCTCCAAAGGGTTTGCATTGACTGATTTTGGAAGTAGGTTGCCAGGCCTTTCTTGCTAGTCTCTGTTAGTTGGGAAGTTCTGCTGAAATCTGTTCGGAATCACAGTAACCAGTCTCCACTGACAGAGGGTGGCTTGTCCACTGACCTGCCAGTGCCCCTGAGCAGCTTCTTGTACTAGCCTATGGGGATGGTGGTGGATGCTGTAACATAGTGTCCCATGGATCTCTGAACTCCTTACTGATCCCAGCCACAGGGAAGAAGTGGCCCAAGAACCTCAGCTGGATACAGCGCTGATCATGGTGGATATTTCACACTGGAATCTGATGAGTCACTCTGGTGATGTGTTACTTGCTGATAGTATGTGGTCAACCCTTCCCCATATCATCTCTTGTTTTAGATGAAGTAAGATGGAGGAGAATCAGGAGAGAGAATAAGAGACAACATGCAAGAGAGGGATGGGAAGGAAGAAGAGACAGAAGGGAAGTGGGGGAGAAAGACCAGGGAAAGTAGAGACCCTGCCCCATCTCCATTGTGGAAAGCAGAGATCATTGATGGCGATCAAGAAGACATATCTGGATCCCCTTTCAAACCCGGCTGTGGGACCCACAGGTTCCAAACACACTCATGGTCTGCCAAAGAAGACTCGATGCACAAAGAGAAGCAACTAACTTATCAAGGGTGGTGACTTTGTGTTGTTGTTGTTAAGTGCTGTCACGTCAATTATGACTCATAGTGACCCTATACAGGGTTTTCGAGGAGTGGTTGGTGAACTTGAACCGCCAACCTTGTGATTCAAATCGATCTTGCAGTCTAGCACATTACCCCGCAGCTTGTATATGACCTGGCTAATTCCTAGCTCAATATTGATGCCAACCCTTCCTATACCCTAGGTGTAGGTCTAGGCGATGTCATTACATGATGTATTCCTCCAATACTGTAAGGTAGGGCCAGCGGTTGATTTTCCTGTAGCACAAACTAGGGCTCTATGGGTAAGTTGTTGTTGTTGTTTAGTGCCATCGAGGGTTTCCGAGGAGCTGCTGGTGAACTTGAACCACTGACCTTGTGGTTCAAATAACTTTACAATCTAGTGCATAAACCAACAATGCTACATATACTAGGACTCCTATGGGTAAGTAACAAGCCCTTAAGTACTGAGATATCAATAGCCTATCCTACCCTTCTACTCATGAATGTCTCTATGAGTCAGAATAAACTAGGTGTCACACAACAACAACCAACCTGCTTATGATATTCAAGATTCAAACTGCAGGGATTCTCAGAGATACA